GGCAATCTCGCTCACTAATGGCCTGCAAAGTTATCAGTTGCAGCTTAGTGGAGCTTAAAGCGGCTTCATTGGGATGTAATAGCTGGCAAAGTTGTCCTCCATTCACTCTAGCTAATCCTTCCTTCAGGGCTTTTTCTCACAATCAGAGTTTCATGGAAAGAGGCAGAAAGAGAGGACTGTATGAAGCAAGGAAGAAAGTGATGACGACAAAATGAAAACTGCAATCAGGCACAGGATGAAAAGGAATTTAAACGGCGACTAAAATGCTGTCAGGATTGAAGCTGTGGATGAGGCTAGTGAGCGTTAGGAGTGTGAGCTGCAGAACGCACCACCGCTGTCTGTTTCTGCCCTCCTGTAAAGCCCTTTTGTATAATTATTCAACTCATAAACATGGCAGCTGAGTAGTGCTTATTCATTCCAGTGTGATCCCTACATGCTTGCGCTCCCAGCCGCTGGAACCAACACACAGAATATCCTGTTTGATACCCACTTGCTTTGCGCCTCTCCATTTCAAAGAACTACTCACAGCCTCAGGGCACAGATCTTATTCTCCTTATTTATCTTAACACTGTTTGCTCTCTCTCTGTTTGTGCTTCAAATTTGATTCTTCAACATCATTTGACTGCTGTACCTCTTTGCGGATGCAATTTCTCTGTGTTTACCACATGTTGTCATCGTGTCAAGTTGTTCCTCTTGGCATTTTAATTCAAAGCACCATGTTTTTGACCAGTGCACCTGCAACCTGTGGACAGATCATATGTCCTCTTGAGGCTCCTTTACTTGTTCTACTTTGAAGAAAATTCCAATTGTGCTTCTCTGCCAAGTAATTATTATTTCCTATGTTGTGTTAATATTGCAGAGTTTCTTGCTTTACTGTGCTTTTTTTAGTGGTTTAGTTTATTCAGCAAAACTATATGAAAAGCACTGTGCTGTTCCATATTTAAATAAAACTAACTCTGAGAATGGAAAAAACACATTTAAAAACAAATAAAGGACCAAATTAGGTCCTCAGGCAAAACTAGATGATCACTTTGATTGTGTTTAGTTGTACATATTCTCATGGAATCTAAAAAGGCACCACCTGTATTGTGAGTGGTGCGTTTTTAAATTCCATGAGTATACATATACATAGCTGACAAATAAATTGTAAAAACCAAAATAAGGTGTGTTAATAAAACCCACCATGAGCCATCAAAACCGGTGAACAATATTCATCCAAAAGATATATCCCCCTCTTTTTTTGACTATATTAGAAGCACAAAGCAGCTGTAACTGTCAATATACAGTATTGCCACATGCCAACTGTATATGAAAGTTCCTGATTTTATGTACAGCAACTAAACAAATGCTCTAACCTCAAGCTAAAAAAACCCATTGCATATAAAACAACTATCAGGTTAGTATAGCTGTAAACAAGCCCAACAACACAATGTACACCAACCTGCATCTAACCCACTGACAATGTATACAATGGACATGGCGTCACCACTTTCCTCCACTATGCAAAAAAAAAAAAAGGCCAAAATATCATGAACATGGCGGCTGACAATTGTTTTTTTGCAATCAGATTCTGCACAATAGTGACCAGAAGTGGAGTGACAGCACTTTACTGCCAGTCAACTGAAATACACACCTTTTTAAAAACCAAACTTACCAGAAAAATGACCACTTCTATACACACCAACATGATAATATCTACCAAAAACCACAGAAGTGACCTCTAGGAAAAATGTATTTGATTTGTACTTTGAGTTTTTAGTTTGGCTCATGTCCCATCTTCTAACATGGAGGAGACAGGATTTATGACCTATACTACAACCAGCCACCAGGGGGCTTTGTGCGCCATCTCAGAGAGCTCTTAGCCTGTCCATCATTTTTACAGTCAATGATCCAATTCTGTCTGATTCCAGCTTTTCTAACACCTTGAACCTATTTCTGCATTACACTAAAGCTGCTGTATACTTTTAGATCCAAATGCATACACTGACCTTGCCAGCAGGCTCCTACAGTTAGCTGTGTATCAATCTTTGAGGTGTGGATTGGCCAGTCATCTGTCACCAGGTAGGGTTCATAGGTCACACCATCCACAAATAGTGTCACTGCAGGAAATTCCACATTGATCACATAATAGTGCCATTCCTTGTCGCAGATCTGAAAAGGAAAGAGAAAGTTAATCACCCTGAGAAGCTACAGTACTTTCAGCTTTTATTACGCATTCAAATAAGAAAATATTTCAGGTCTGCACATACACAAAAATAGGACAGCTTTAAAAATCTATATTATTCTGGCAACTACATCTTTGTTCATCGAGGCCTTATTTAGGTGAGGAGCATTTCTCTGTGGAGGACAATGTTTATAGGGCTGGTATTATGGACACGATGATGTTTACTACAGCTGAAACTGAAGACATGTGTGAATGTTCCCCACCTTTTTGCCTTCAATAAAGGAGATGAAAACAAATTCCTCTCCTCATCTTGGGATCATTTGCTCTCTGCCATCACATAGCTAATGAGGTTTCTGTCTAATGAGGTGTTCATTAAAGGCGCATGATGAGTGACAAACACGGCTGTGGAGGACCTGAGTGCCTCACAACTTTTATCAACAACTGCAGGTTTCCTTGATTCTTCCTGCTCTCTCTCTTTGCCTCTGCCTCTCTCCCCACAGTCTGTTGCCCCTTATACTCGCAGCATCTTTAAACATTTGCTACTTTGCTGACTTCATCTATCAATTATTTCCATCAGTGACTAACCTACAGATAATTTTCTCAATTAACTGATTCATTGCTTTGCCAATAAAATGTCACACATCAGTGAAAATGCCCTTTATCATTTTCCTATGGGGTTATGTGCATTATGCTGCATCATGTTACTGTTTGTAGGAAGAGGCTAAAGAGATTTTCAACTTTTATCAAACAATTCAAGATGCTTGTGTTGGTCACGTCACAGTTAAAACTGCAATAACTCATTTCTGGGGTCACATAGATGCAATGAAACCAAGCTGTGAACCCACTGATACATCATAGCAAAATTGTTAACAAAAAGCAGCCTATTGATACACCTATGATATGGATTTCTGCACATCTAATGAATGAACAGACAGGCCCAGTTCCATTTCCTATGTTTTAATCCTCAAAATGAAATTACAAGGAGTGGTGGTTCACATCTTCCTCTATGAAATGGGACAACCCTTCAAGTGCTCTGTGCATCATCGATATTTACTTACTGATGATGGTTAACTAAACAGATGCAACGAGTTGTTGTTGTAAATTATGAATCATACAATGCAGTCTTCTGCTGTGGTGATATCTCTTGGTCTTTATCGGTTTGTGATTTTCAACAGCAAATAAAAGGAGGGGTAGGGCAAAGTGTAAGGGGGAAGGGATGATTTGGGATTGAGTCTTGTCTGTGTTTCAGGTCTCTACCAACTCATGTGGGAAATTTCTGGCACTTCAAGCTGCTAAATACTCAGTTAAATTTTCCTCAATAGCTATCTGCTGTATGCCTACACAAAATTTGCCCTCTGACTAACTGCTGACCTAACCAGGATGTACTGTACTCTGCATGTGGTGATGCTTGCAGTTCTTCCAGGTAATTTGTAGAAAATAAATGAACATAAGACAGCAGTGAAGTATTACATTTGAAATGTTATACTGTATTCTGTGAAAAGGAAATACACAGACAACATTACATGGAGTCCTGTAAACAACATCACATCTGTAAGGCAAGGCCTGTCCTTTCATATCTCAGTGAGATATGAAAAATGTCCTCAACTGAAACCACTTTAAATGTGATATTTTCAGGTAGGTAAATATAGTTTCAAAGGCTTTAGCAACTTGCTGAGGTCTTAAAAGATTTTCTCATGATGCTCTTATGCCTGTTAAAGCAACAACATCTGTTTTTTCTGTAACGTCTGCTATGAAAGATTCAACTGAATTAAGAGTAAACAAGTTATTTGCACGCAAGAGGAGGAATTCTGGAGATTTGAGATGCACAGAAAAAAGCAGGAAGGAGTTCAACATTCAGATAGATTTTCATTTTGTTCGATTTCTTTTTAAGGCTCTGTGGCCACACACACAGACACACACATACTGAGAGTTTATTCAAGCCGTGATGTGAACTAATGGGGTTGAGACCTGTGTTGAAGAAATCAAAGCTCCAGGGATGTTTGATTTAGAGAATAGAGTCTCACCCTTACGAGTGGGAAGAGACAGAAATTCCCATGGGCTATCCCAGACACCCCTTCCGCACAAATCACATCTCAGCAGATACTCAAATAACTATGCCTGGTTACTGTGGTTTTTATGCATTTGTTTCCTTATAACAGAGAGAAATGAACCACCTGACAGTTCACAAACACACAAACAGACAAAAAACATATTATAAAAGTTAAAGCACAACTTGCTTTGTTTTAGCTTCATGTACTATATATAGCACAACAGACGAAATATCCCAGGTTGCCAGATGTGTGTTATTAACATTGACAGTGTGTTTTAGTTTCATCAGCTCACTTTCAGACTTTGTATGCGTACTTGACTAGACAGGCAGAATGCATTGCCACTTTCATTTAGCCGCTGGCTGGCTGAGTGCCTGTGGAGGAGAGTGCAAAGTGTTTGTGTAGGAGACGCTCTCCCTTTATACTGCACTTAATATTCCCAAAGCAGCAAGTATGTGGACTTTATAAAAGCATGACCTGATAAGAGTTTTGCACCCCTTTTATGCAGCTTTGTGAGGCTGTAGAGCTAAATGCTAACTATAACATGCTAACTATCACAGTGACAATATACACATGCAGATGTTTAGCAAGTACAGTCATCTTAGTGTAGCGTGTTACATTACACTAACAGTGAACACAAAGTGCAGCTGAGGCTGATGGGAAGTATTAAATGAGCAAGTAATCATTTTTACCTGGACAGGAATGTGTGTACAAAATTTTATGAAAATCCATTTAATAAGTGTTGAGATACAGAACTTCAGTATGGACCTAAGGAGGCATCCATAGAGCCACACTGCGAGAAATAGCAAAAACAGAGTTCAGGCGGTATGGAAATATGACAGTAACAAACTGGGTTACATCATTTCTCCCACGCAGTGAAGCTGATTGTTTCTCCCTTAATCTCTTTTCTTGTGCTTTCCTATTCTTCTTCTGTCTGTAATAATTGAAGGAGTGGGTGCTAGACTGAGTGGTAGAAACAGCCATGAACATATAATGTTCTTTATGTCTGTGTACTTGTTTAAAGATGTACACACAGTGACAGCATGTGTGGAAAATCCTTAACATGAGTTTTCATTTTCACTGGTTGATCAGACTTTGTGGCTTGAATAGCAAAAGGGATCACTCAAGTTGTATACGGAGACATACAGTATATCTGTGTCTCTTAATTTAATAAACATTAACATGTGTAAATACAACAACTCTGTTGCCAAGATCATAAGCCATCTGTTATAAATTAACTTTATTGAATGACTGGCAGTGCAGTCATTTATGTGCACATATGTCATTACTCCAATAAGGAAAAGTTGCTGTAGCACTCTGAATCTAGTCCAGCACCATGTTTGTATATATTGCCGACTGCCTACACACACACACACACACACACACACACACACACAGATCATTAGTAGATTCCATCAGCTGCACTCTTCTGCTGCTTAGGCATATGTTTGTATATATATATATATTGCTTGAATGTGTCTGAAGGCACATAAGTCAGCGGGAGCAGGAACGCATATCTCCTCTGCAGCAACGTAACAAGACAGTGAATACCGTAATGAGCTGGTATCAAAGAAGTCACCAGAGCAGTCCCACTATATAGAGAGAGGGAGACAGCCCATGCCCCAGCTAGATATATTTTAAACTATATAAATCTCTAAGAGGGACCTTTGGAACACTAACATGTAAACAAGGCTTGCCTAGAGAGAAGTGTGTAAACAGCTTACTTTTACCACTCAAAAAGCTACAGCAATGATTTGTGCTCTAATGGGGCAGAAGTTCATCTACAGTAACTACAAACTACTCTTGACAGAATAAACAGCTGCTGACATGAATCACGTTATTTCAGCAGGTGAATAACATATGGCTTCTCTGAACGTAGACAAAAATTAAACACTTCAGTTGGACAAGATGAAAACAGCAAAAACAGAGGATGCTGAGAGACACACAGGGACTGGACCTAAAGAGGACGAGCAGGCGAGTATTTCAAATCCTGGCTCCTAAACATGTTGCAGACTCACAGAGCCCATTTGAAGTCATGCACACTATTAGTTGGACTGAGGATGTGTTCTACATTTTATTATGGTGGCTCTGTTCTATTCAAGTGTCCTGTAAGCCATGACAGGGAGTCAGCATGTGCAATGTCAGGATCAGGCCCACTGCACGCCATGTTCTGTGTGTACCTGTAGGGCACCAATATAATAGCAATGAAAGAAATAAATATCTACATATGTATCAATAGATACAGTATCTATCTTCTATAGAAACTACATCCTGTCTCATTTTCACTTGATTTATCAGACAATGTGTAAAATCCTAGTTAATGCACCTTTAATGTGATTTTCTACACCAGTGCACCTTTGACATTTCAAAATTTCCCCTGTGAAAAAATACCTGTTGTATGTAGTAAATTATTTTGGTGACACCATGCAATTCTCAACATAGCTCCAATCACCATTAACCCAAGCAGACATCTAATCAACAGGAATGATTAAAAACAGCTGTATGAGTGTTCTGTTTTCAAATTAGGAAGACAGCCAGGAGATGTGTTTTACTGATCCTACAATTTCTAAAGGATGAGGTCCCCCAGGAGGAGCTGGGAAATGTTGCGAGGTAGAGGAACGTTTGGACCAAACCTACTGCTCCTGTGGCAAAACCACAAATAAGCAGCTGATAGGGGATGAATGGATGTCATTATTAGACATATTTTTCACCCACATTTCTCCCATATCTTACTACATTGCTCTCTTCCCACATAATTCTGTGAGGTGCCTGTTTTTCTGACCCTAATATTAACATGTTAACTCCCAGCTCCACTTGGAAATCTGCATTTGTACAGCATTTGGAGAATCTCTATCCTGCCAACAGAGGAATATGCAATCTCCTCCATAAGGTATTCTCAAAGACAGATTGCTTCCTTGTTTATTGGAACTGTGTTGGAC